CGGCGGATATGGATATCTGCCCGCTCACGCGGGCGGGCAGATATCCATATCCACTGCTCCTCGAGATTCCAGGGCACGACTCCGAAGCGGTGGATGTGGACATATTCTGGCGGTGGAAAGCAGACTCTGGGTTTCTCAATAAGCGTGGGGGGTACCTCCCCGACGGGGGTCAACCTCGCCTCGTCGTCGCGCCGCGGCGGGGGCCGGAGCGCCTTCGGCGCGCGGGGCCTGCCCGCGACGGGGGTCGATGTGTGGCTGTCGACGGGGGTGACGCCCCCCCGACGCTTGTTAAGAAACTCGGAGTAAGCATAGGCCTTCGGAGCTCCGCGCGGAAGTCTTGGATCGGCGCTGGACGCCACTGGCGGCGCCTCCACCGCCGCCCCCTGGCGCGCGGAGCGCGCCAGGGAGCCAGGGTGGCCGCGTTCGCGCACCGCCCCTCCGGGGCCAAGAGGAAGGACGAGGAAGACGAGGACGAGGAGTCGCGACCCACGAACCACGAACCGCGAACAAACCCGCACCCTCGTGGCGGCCCTTGGGGAGGGGGCCCAGTGCGGATCTGAGAGATCCGCGCAGAGCTGCGAAAATCTTTGTTTTGATGCCGTCTCTTTTCCTGGGGGGCGACGATAGGGGGGGGACCGGCATAGGGGGGGATACATCGACCTGGAATCGGCGATACATCGCCGATAGATCGGCGATAGGGCCCAGATCGTGGATCCGCACCTTCCTGGGCAGGCTAGGGCTATCGGGCCCCTAACTATCGGCGATCAATGGGCGATTGGGGGTCGATGCATCCTCCCCATATGCTTATCCTTCCTCGTGGCCCAAAAGGGGGTCCAAAGGGGTGGTGCAATAGGGGCCGATCGTATTGCAAATGTACGGCGCAAGAGAATTGCATCGCAGTATTGCAGCCAACGCATTGCACGCAAAAACCCAGCAATACGCTTGCCCACCGGAACGTACTACACACCCCAAATCTGCTGCAGCCCCACAAACCTGTGGCACCAAATCTGGTGCACCGCCCCCCCTGCGCAGGACCCCTCTTATGGGTCAACCAGAACCCCCCCCCATCGCTGCCCTGCCCCTGATGTCTCCCTCGGCACACCAGCTCCGGGCTTCCTCGCTCAGCGGCCACAGGACGCGCGCCTGCCGGAAGACCTCCGCCAGCACGCGCAAGGCCCGCAGCGGGTCCTCCTTGCCGGCCTTCTGCATCAGCGCGGGGGCGTAGTAGACCTGGGGGGGGCGGAAGGTGCCGATCCCGTCGGCGCAAGCGTCGGCATAGAGAGAGCTTTGCAGTCCCCTGGCCAGGCAAACCGCCTTTCGGTCAGGCTGCGCCCGACACACGCGCAGCAGCACAGCACAAGACAATCCTCATCACCATCATAAACACCATCATCCTCCTCTTCCTCCTCCCCCTCCTCCTCCTCCTCCTCCTCCTCCTCCTGCTCATAATCATCATCATCATCATCATCATCATCATCATCATCATCATCATCATCATCATCATCATCATCATCAGCATCAGCATCAGCATCAGCATCATCATCATCATCATCATCATCATCATCATCATCATCATCATCATCATCATCATCATCATTGTCGTCATCATCATCATCATCAGCAGCAGCATCATCATTCTCAGCAGCAGCAGCAGCCATCACCATCCTCCTCCTCATCATCATCGCCATCATCATCAGCAGCAGCATCGTCGTCGTCATCGTCATCAGCGGCAGCATCAACATCAGCATTATCAGTAACAGCAGCATCATCATCAGCAGCATCGCCACCCCCACCACCGCCACCACCACCACAACACCCATCATCACCCTCATCCTCATAATCATCAGCAGCAGCATAATCATTGGCACCACCAGCATCATCAGCTGAAGCAGCAGCATCACCACCACTACCACCACCGTCATTACAATCATAATCAGTATCACCATAATCATTAGCATCATCAGCATCCGTATCATCAGCATTACCAGCATCGATATCATCATCATAGTCATAATCACCATCATCATCATCATCACCATCATCATCATCAGCAGCAGCAGCACCATCCTCGTCAAACTCATCATCATCATAATCATCATCATCATTATCATGATCATCGTCATCATGTTAATTCGCCGGCCCAACGGGCCAGAGGCGTGCTAAGATCTCCGGTAACTGCTCTACAATGTTTCTACTTCGCGCGCGCGGGGCGGCCCCTGGGGGTCCCCAGACGAAAAGTACCCCGACCAGGTCCCGGCCGGTCCCCGGCCGGGTCCCCCCGAGCGCTCCACGAGCGCACCAACAGGGCTCCGAAAACGTCCCCGAGGACCCAAACAAAACCAAGAGGCCCGCAAGAGGTCCCCAAGATGGTACACGAGGCGTCCGAGATGCCACAAGATCGCTCAAGATGGCCCCCAGACGCCCCAAGATGCCTCCAAGAGCACTCCCAAAAGGGCCCCCGGAGGCAAAATTCATTGTTTTTCCTTAGGTTTTTGATAGATTTTGGAGCTTCCACCTTTTCGGCTCCCCGACGCCCCACGACGGCCCAAGAGGCCCCCAAGATCGCCCCAAGAGGGCCCAAGAGGCCCCCAAGAGGGTCCCAAGATGGCCCCAGAGGGCTCGAAGATGACCCAAGAAGCCTCCAAGACAGTCCAAGAGGGCCCCAAGAACGCCCCCAAAGGGGCCCCAGAGAGGGAATACGAAACAACATTTCGAGCCCTCGGCCTTAAGAAGCCCCTACGAGGCCCCAAGAGGCCCCTAAGAGGCCCCAAGAGGCCCCCACGAGGCCCTCAGGAGGCCCCCAAGAGTCCCCCAAGCGGCCCCAGGAGGCCCCCTAAATGCCCCCCCGAGCGCCCCAGGAGTCCCCAAGCGGCCCCAGGAACCCCCAAAGCGCCGCATTGACACCAGGCCCTCGGGCAAACGGCAGACATGAGACTGTATGGGCCGGCGGAATGAGCGAAGCGATTAAATTATCATCATCAGCAGCAGCAGCAGCATCATCATCGTCATCATCATCATCATGATCTGCAGCAGCATCATCATCAGCAGCAGCATCATCAGCAGCAGCATCATCCTCATCATCAGCAGCAACATCGCCACCCCCGCAGCATAAGCATCGGCACCACCAGCATCATCAGCAGAAGCAGCATCATCACCACCACCACCATCATAACAATCAGAATCAGCATCATCATCATCATCATCATCATCAGCATGATCAGCATCCCTTTCATTCTTATCATCAGCAACAGCAGCATCATCATCAGCATCAGCATCATCAGCAGCATAAGTAGCATCATCATCGGCACCATCATCAGCACCATCATCAGCATCAGCAGCGTCATCATCAGCATCGTCAGCAACAGCAGCATCATCATCGTCATCATCATGATCTGCAGCGACAGCATCAGCATCAGCATCAGCATTATCATCAGCAGCATCATGTCCATCATCATCAGGATCACCATCATCACAAGCATCATCATCAGCAGCAGCATCATCAGCATTATCATCATAATCATCATCATCATCATCATCATCATCATCATCATCATCATCATCATCATCATCAATCATCATCATCATCGTCGTTATCATCATCGTCATCGTCGTCATCATCATCATTGTCATCATCATCACCATCAGCAGCATCAGCATCGTCGCCATCATCATCGTCATCATCATCAGCATCAGCAGAAGCATCATCACCATCATCACCGTCCTCATCATCAACGTCAGCATGATCATCATCACTACCACCACAACCATAATCATCTTCATCATCATCATCATCAGCAGCATCATCATCATCATGATCGCCATCATCAGCATTATCAGCATCATCATCCTCATCATAATCATCATCAGCAGCGTCCGCATCATCGTCACCAGCATCATCATACTCATCGTCATCATCATCATCACAATCATCATCATCATCATCATCATCATCAGCAGCATCCTAATCATCATCATCATCATCATCAGCAGCAGCAGCAGCAGCTGCGGCAGCATCAGCATCATCAGTATCATCAGCATTACCACCACTACCATCACCATTATCAGAAACAGTAGCAGCATCATAGTTCCGAACCATCCTCATGGTCATCATCATCATCATCATCATTATCGTCGTCGCCGTCGTCGTCATTGGCATCGTCGTCCTCATCATCGTCATCATTGTCGTCATCGACCTCTCCCGGGGCTGCGTTCTGAACAGAATTTCATGAAGAGTCCAGCCGTGGCGACGAGGGCCCTCCTGGGCAAGCAGCTGCATCGGTATCTCTTCGCCCCCTGCAGACTAGGATGGCGGGGCCCTTGTGCTCGGACTCCTCGCGGGACCAGGTCTGGTTCCAAATGTCCACCGCGCCCAGCTCGTCGCTGAGCACCTCCCTGTCCTTCGAGCCGGATATCGACTACAAGATTGGCGTACCCCAACATCGATGTCTCGTAACAGACAACAAAGGATGTAGAGTGTCCGTAGATTGTTCGTCGATCTGAAAAAGTATGCGCATCACTCTAGTCCTACTCGCCTCCCTATTAGTCATGAGATTCGAATAGTCTTACGGATGTGACTCGAATGTTATGCGAATCTTATCTCCAGGTTCGCCGAAGCGGGGGGGGAAGAATTCGAGAATATTCTGAATCGAGAACAGTATCTGGACTTCTAGATTCCTAGATATCTAGATTTCTATTCTGAAAGGGGCCCCAGGACACACAAAAAAATACACACAAACAAACAGATTCCCCATACTTTCCCATATTTCCTGGGTTTTTGTCTTCCTCCTCACCTCCCATATTTTTCCCTATTTTCTGGGGGACCGACGATGAATTGTGTCTGTGTTTTTTTCCCTCCTGATATTCGAGAGTCTTATGAGTACTCTGTCCTGCGGGGGCAGAGCGTCGAAGGCCCGCAGCACCGCGGCGCTGTCGCCCTGCGCCATCGTCACCAGCCGCATCCGGGCGATGGCGCCCTTGCCCTGCGGGCTGGGGCCGAGGGACGGCTTGTGGCTGTCCCAGCGCCAGGCCAGGTAGTCCTCGTACACCTTCGCCGTCGTCGTCGTCCTCCTCCTCCTCACGAGGGAGAGAGATCCCGGAGAGGCCTCGCGCGGCAGCTCGGGGCGCCACTCGCGCGTGGGATGCGCCTCGGAGCTGCGCTGGGCTCGGGCTGGAGTCACGCGGGGTGTGCGTCCGACCTGCGTCGGGAGGACGTCGGACCTGCGTCGGAGCTTTGCCGCTACGACAGGGCGGACGTGCGCACTAGATCATGCAACCGAGGGCTCCAGCAATTGTCCTCCTAGTCTTCCCTGTTCTCCCCATCCTCTTCCGTGCCCTTCCTCCTCTTGGCGGCGCGCACAGGAGGGTAGGGGGAGGGGGGAAGGCTTTTTAGGAGGCTGCTTCTCAGAAGGCGCTGGTCTTACATCTACAGATCAAGCCTGCGCCTTCTAAGAAGCAGGGGTGCTTCTAACAGGCCTTCCCCCCTCCCCCCTACCTCCCTCTTGCTCATGCCCTTCCTCCTGCCTTCGCTTTCGCACTTGCCCTCATTCAAACATGGATTAGCGATCCATGGATTTGGCGCGCGGTCGCCGAATCCATGGATCGGGAGAGGTGCACTCTCCGAAATGCGGCCGGCGCCGCCTCGCTCGGCGGCGGAAATCCGTGGTTCTCCATGGAAACGGGACCCGTCGCTAATACACGCCCCCGTGATCCCTGTTTTCGATCGCCTGACCTGTGGCCTGCGCGCTCTCAGCCCGCGTCCGCGGCGCACTCTTGCGAGGACTCCCCCCGAGGGAGGGGACGGAGGAGGAGGAGAGGGAGGAGAAGGAGGAGGAGGAGGAAGAGGAGGAGGAGGAGGAGAAGGAGGGAGGAGGAGGAGGAGGAGGAGGAGGAGGAGAAGGAGGGAGGGAGGAGGGAGGAGGACCCCGGCCCCGTCGGCCCCCCGCTCCCTCCCCCCGAGGAAAAGCACGGCGGCCCCCTCCCCGAGGTGCCCGGTCGCCCTGCCCGGGGCCTCTCTCCCTGGGGGGGGGGGGGCCTCTCGCGCCGCCACGGCGGGCGCCGCACCGGGAGAGGCGGAGCTTGGGCGTGGCTCGAGTGGTGTGGGGGGGTCATGACTGGGGGCGGGGGGGGTCATGACTGGGGGGGGTCAAGACTGGGGGGGGGGTCATGAATGGAGGGGGGGGTCATGAATGGGGGGGGTCATGAATGCGATCCCTCCCAGGGGCCAGCCTCTAGGCTTCCCCGACCCCCTCCGTTGTCACGGCGCCGAAGTCGCCGATGTAGTTTCAATCCAAAAAATTGGGCCTGGCTTAATGGGGGCCATGAATGTGGGGGTCAGAAACGGGCCCCTTTCGTGCCCCTTTCGAGACCCCTCCGGAGCCCCAGGGGGCTCGTTTAGGTACCGTTCGGGTACCTTTTCGGACCACCCTCGCCACCCACCGATTTATGACCCCCCCATTACGCAACGCCCAAGAAGCGCGCGGGAGGGATCCCACGGGAGGGGTCCAGAACCCGATGTCTGTTCTGAGCGGACGGGGCTGGCCGAGGACAGGAAACGTTTTCTTATCCTGGGTTTCGACATTGGACAAAGGTGGCCAGACGAGGGTGCCCTTGGGAAAGTTGCCCATCCTTATGCGGGTCGACTGCACACTAGTAAACGTTGTCTTACTCGGCGTTTCGACATTGGGCGGAGGGGGAGGGGGAAGGGGGGGGGGTCTGGTTCTAGAGGTCTGCTTGATGCCACTGTTTGCAACAGTGCGTCCTGTGGGGGATGCCCCACCTGCTGGAAACAGGCGCCAAAAACAGCCAAGACCTGCTCGAGAGCCCGCGCAGATCGGCAAAATAATGAATTAGAGACGTTTTCTAATTCTTGGCGGCGAGCGAGGGGGGAAATGAGATGGAGAAGGCCTTCTCAGAAGGCGGCGAGACTTCTCAGAAGCCCTCGCGCCCTCGGAGAAGTAGTTTCTCTGCCTTCGGTGAATGCTTAGAAAACGTCCCAGAAGGCCGGGGGACTTCCGAACCTTCTGAGAAGGCCTTCTCCTTTTCACTTCCCCCCTCGCTCCCCGCCGATATTCGGCGTTTCGACATTGGGCGGAAGAGGGGGGGTCTGGCTCCAGACCTCTGCTTAATGCCACTGTTTGCAGGAGCGCGTCGCACGTATGGGGGACACCCCGCATGCTTGAAACAGGCGCCAAAAACAATCAAGATCTGCTCGAGGGCCCGCGCCGATCGGCAAAACAAGGCATGAGAGAACGATCACAAAGCCACCGATGTCTCGATCGCCCCGCCGCCAACACCTGCGTCTCCGTGGCACCCTGGAGCCCGATGTTCTGGACGATGTTGAAGGAGAGCAGGAACTGGTTCAGGACAGCCTTGGGGAACTTGAGCACAAACTTCTCGCAGCCCTCCTTCGTGGGCGACAACTATCCATATCCGCGGCTTCGTGGGCCGGGCCCCTGGGCCGGGCCCCTGGGCCGCGACCCCGCGGGATTGCGGGGCGTTTTGTCGAGGATGCCCCGCGCGGAACGTGTCCGTGCGACCGCACATCCCCGGGATCGCGCCCCGGAATCCAGACCAGGAGGGCATGAATGTGGACACGTTCGCCGCTCGTGACTCCTGGGGGAAGGGCTCCGCGCCCGCGAGATCCGTGAACCAGTGGGTGAAATAGAATGCCAAGTCCTGCGGCGACGCCTGCCCGGACGCCACCACGCGGCGCAGCTTCCGGAACAGGGCGCCCGGGGGAGCCTCGGCCTGGACCAGCCAGCCCATGTTGTACTCCATCTTGCTTTGGGTGAACTTTACGCTGTCCTGCTGCTCCTTCGGGAGTGCGGCGAAGGATGGGAGGACGTTGGGGTAGTACTCGAGCACGTAGGCCAGGGCCGCGTCGTGGTCGTTGATCACCTCGCCCACCTTGTAGCCGCGGAAGGATCCGGTCACGTGCTTCCTGCTGACCGTGGGCAGCAACTGCACCGTCTTCATGATGTCGTGTATGGCAGTGAGCACCAGCATGCCCAGCGTGCGGTCCTCGTTGTGCCTCCGCGAGTCCTTCGCCTTCTTGGACGCGAGCGCCAGGAAGCTCCGCTTGCGGGAGAAGTCGGCGGCCCCGGTCGTCGCCTCTTCCAGCAGCCCCGCGTTCACGACCAGCTGCTCCAGCGACGCCCACTCGGCATCTCTGTGGAAGGCGCTCCGGCGCTCCCACTCGTCAAGCGCCGTCTGACTGTCGTCGAACGGCTTCGTGCGCGCCTTCCAGCACTCGTCGAGCCCGAAGCAGAAGGACTGGCTGCCGTCCAAGTGCAAGCGCATGAGCCAGAAGAAGGAGAACATGGCTCCCAGGGTGCGCTGGTACTCGTCCTCGCCAGCCCGGCCACTGGTCATGTCGCCGACAAGGTAAAGGTTCAGCTCGGGGAAGGCCGCGACGATGTCCTCGTAGAAGTCCTTGCAGGTGTAGTTCGGGTTGCAGATCTCCCTGGCCGCGCGCCTGCGGAGGAACAGACAACGGTATGAACAGAAAACGTCGGAGGTCCGCGCGGATTTCTTGGATCAGCGCTGGACCCCACTGGCGGCGCCTCCGGCGCCGCTCCCGCGCGCCGGGGAGCAGGGGCAGCTGCGCTCGCGTATAGCGAGGCGCGAAGCGCGAATCACCTCGCGCCTTCGCGCCGCCCCCCCCGGGGCCCAAAACGAAGGACGAGGAAGACGAGGACGAGAGGAGCCGCGAGCCGCGAGCCACGAGCCGCGAGAACTCCTCCGCGCCCTCGCGGCAGCCCTCGGGGCCCCCCCTGGGTGGCGCCTCTGGCGCCGCCCCTCGGGCGCGCCGAGGGCGGCCCAGCGCCGATCCAGGGACTCCGCGCGGACCTCCAAAACCACCGGTGCTGACGCCGCTGCTCCCCCATCCGAGCCTGGCCCGCTTCATGTCCACCTTCTTCCCCCGCATCAGGCTCTCCAGGACCGTGGCGTTGCTGAAGGAGAACCAGGACCCGCCCGCGCCGCCCCGGGCCCCGCCCTGCATGTCCCCGTCCAGCTCGGGCACGAGCAGGTGCCTCCGCTGCTCCCGCACCTCCGCCCACCAGGCCTCGGAGTGACGGTCGGTCAGGGACGGGGCGCGGCGGACCCTGACCGCGGAGATGTCGTGGCTGCTCTGCCAGGACCAGTGCATGATGGTCATGCTGCCAGCGCCAGGGCCCTTGGCGGGCTCCCACCTGGAGAAGGAGAAGTTCTGGCCGTCCGGGAGGCCGATGCGGTGCAAGGTCGCGGTGTCCACCTCGTTCATGACCACCCGGGCGGTGACCTCGTCGATCTGGTACAGGGTCTGGATCCCCGGGTACGAGCGAGAGACTCCACGGTCCTCCCTCGACTGGTGAGAGGCAAGGTCCACAGCGATGCAGCTGAGCTGGGTCTCTGGCGTGATTCCCAGACGCTTGTGGAACAACGTCTCCACGGCCTGCTGCCAGGTCTTCCCCTGGGGCAACCGCATCGTCAGTGGGCGGCCTTTGTCCGCCTCGTCGCACTTCCCCCTCTGGATCTTGGAGTCCAGCAGGAGCACCTGGTCGGCAGCGAGGATGTCCGCATGCAGCCAGACTTTGAGGACGCGCACCTTGCGACACAGCTCGCCGTCCTCTGCCAGCTCCAGCGACGCCTGGCAGGAGTCGTAGACTTCGTCGTAGAGCTCTGAGAAGGCAGTGGGAGTCAACTGGATCTGGCCGCCATTTGCCTTGGCAAGCTTCGCGAGAAGCTTTGCCTCTTTCTCTCCGCCGATCTCTGCCCACTTCCAGCGGTGCTCCCCAGTCAGCTTGTCGGTGGAGAAATCAACACCCCCAGGGAGACCCATCCGCGCCAGCTGTGGGTGGGCCGGGTCCTTGACATTGACGACGATATTGTGCATCTTGTACGTGGTGAGGATGCCAGGAATCGTCCCAGAGACATGCGCTTCCTCCTCGAACTTGTAGCTGTCCCACTTCACAGAGAGACAGGCCGTCTGATCCGTCTTGCTCAGGCCGAACTTCTCCTCAAAAAACTGCGGCAGCGCCTCCTTCCAGCGCTGCCCCTCGTGCGCCCTCAGGACCGCCACGAGCTTCTCGTTCCGCTTCCTGAAGCTGCCGTCGGCCCGGCTCTGGGAGTCGATCCTCAGCTCGCGAAGCTTGTTGTCGTCGCCCCGGGTGAGCAGCTGGATCCGGATCACCTCCTTGAGCCTGAAGGGGCCCAGGGAGACGCAAAGAAAGTCGGCACAGAGTCCAGCATTCCCCATGAGTTTCAACATTTCCTGGATGGTCCTCTTCCCCTCCATTTCCAATGTTTCCCACGTATCCATTGATGCCAACGTTTAGAGGGCTCTTGAAGGGGGGCTACGTAAGGACCCACCCCCTTAGCCTCCAAGACGGCCACAAGAGGCCCTTCAGGGTTCCCAAGAGACCCACAAGAGGGGTCCAAGCGGTACCCAAGACCCCCCAAACGAACCACAAGGGGGTCCCAAGGGGGCCCCGGGAGAACCCAAAGAGGACCCCGAGAAGGCCGCAAGAAAATCAACTCTCATCGGCAGCACTTCTGAATGGGCTGGTGGGAGCGAAGCGTGCAGAATTTGTACATATCCTCGAGTTAGATCTTCCCCTTCATTTCCCGCATTTTCCTGGAAGCTGGCCTTTATGTGTGTGTTTGTGCCTCTTTCTCCCTCCTGAGAACCTGCGCAGCACGCCGCCCACCACCTCGAGGTTGGAGTCCCGCTCGATCGCGACGTCGCTGTAGAACTCCCGGAGAGTCTTGGCGTCGCCCCTGCCGTACTTCTCGGTGTCGACGCCGTGGCTCTGCAGATAGCGCCGGAAATCTCGGAACAGCATGCCCTGGATGTCGGCCTCGGAGCCGTCCCGAGCGCCAGCCGGGGCCGCCTCTAAAGGAGAAAAAACACGCCATAAACATACTCCGGATTCCATAACAAAGTTGGGGGGGTCACATTCGGGGGGGGTCTGATTTGAGCTGTCTTAGAGGGTTCGGGGGGGTCTGGACAAAGGGCAGCCCTTTCATGGATAGTCTGGGGGGTCTAAAACTTCTCGTCTGGGAGGGTTGTGACCCCCTCCCTTTTATTACGAAATCTGGAGTAAACTTTTGGCACTCCGCGCGGATTTCTTGGATCTGCTCTGGACCCCCCTCCCTGGCGCGCTCCGCGTGCCAGGGGCGGCGCCGGATGCGCCGCTGGGGGGGCCCGCGCGGGTCCAAGCAAGCAGTCCGCGCGGAGCGCCAAAAGTTTATGCTTATGGCGTGTTGTTCTCCTTCGAGCCTCGGGCGCAGGGCGGACGTCGAACTCCTCGGCAACCAGCTCGGCCAGGGACGCCTGCCCCCTCGGCGCCTCCTCGGCCGCCCCTGCCTCCGCGTAGTAGGAGCCGCCCCTGCGCGAGAGGCGCAGGCGCTCGCCGCCCAGCGCCACCAGCCCCTCGCGCGCCCGCGCGGACAGGTGCACCACGTAGTTGCCCTCGCAGAGGGCAGAGCATCCACCCCCAGAGTAATCGCCCCGACACGCGAAGCCGTTTGCTGAGCATTTTCTTAGCGTGGAGGGCTCAGGGTGAAGTCCATATGGGCTTTCGCACCTCGAAAATAAATCCGTCTTGTGAATCACCTTTTGCAGATTCAAGCCTCGAAAATCAATCGAAACTGGCATTTCAGATTTCACCCTTTGCCCTCCACCCGAAGAACATGCTCGGGCTGAGTAAACGCACCCACAGAAGGAATCAGAACAGGGCAGGGCTGTTGAGGTGAACGCCCAGGACCGTCTAGCGAACGCCAGTTCTCGGGTCCGGGCGGCCTTTCCTCCCTCGACCTCGGCCCCCAGCGCCAGGCTCTTGCACGAGTCCACCACGGGGCCCAGGTGCGCGCGGCGGCCAGTGGCCGGCAGCTCGAAGGTCTGGAGCTCCCCGACGTGCACGGCCGCGCGCAGGCGCACCGCCGGGCTCTGGCGCCGCGCCCAGCGGCACAGCAGCTGGCCCAGGCGCACGGCCGCGTCCTCCGTGCTCATGCCGCCCCGCTCGCGCGGCGCCAGCTGCACGAGGCCACTGGTGGCGTTGTCCTCGAGCGTCTTCCCGCCCACGCGCCGCACGCACTCCACCAGCTCCGCGTGCAGCCGGCGCAGGGCCTGGGCCTGGTCCGCCTGCAGGCTGCTGCCCGCCATCCAGAAGAGGCAGCACGCGTTGGCCTTCGGCAGCGGCACGGAGGGGCCGTGGCTGGTCATTGAGCTCCTGGGCGGCGAGGAGGCCTTCGGCGAGTGGACGCTGGCCTCCGAGGGCGTCTCGCTGCCGGCGGTGAGGTTGCCGGCGTGCTCGCCCGCGGTGGCCAGGCCCTTGCCCTGCGAGCCGGCGCTCTGAAGAAGAGTCGACGGCATATCCCCAAGGCGAAGGAGAGCGGAGGCTCTGAGTAGCAGCTCTGGTGGCCGCAGCTCAGGGCGTGGGATCAGCAATGCAACTTGTGGCGAGTGCCGAGGAGTGCGTATTTGCTCGAGGCTCGAACCAGAAAAGCCCGCGGCCGCATGCATGCACAAACGCACCACTGCGCACGTGCATGCACACATGCATATAAACGAGCATACCCATACACAGACTTACACATACACAACTCCTGGGGCAAGCAAAGACGATGCCGCTGATCCCCGGACGACCTCTCGCGGACTGCGTTCTGGCCAGACTCCGAGGCGAGCCCAGCCGCGCCGTCGAAGGCTCTCCAGCTATCCGAAGGGCCCTCCTCGGAGTGCGCAGGCGTGTGCGGAAGCCTGGGCCACCTCGCTTCGCGCCCCCGCGATGCGCGACGCGCCCGATCGTCTTCGCAGCCCCGCGCCCCTGCGCCGCGCCCCCCCCCCCCCCCGGGGAGGGGCAGCCGCTCTGGCCCAGACCGCGACACGCGAAGTGCGATCGTCTTCGCGCCCGCGCGGGGGACCAGGACGTGCGCAGACAGTGGGCGCTCGACCACAGGAAACCTTCCATGGGAGGTCCAGCCCTGAGACCCCAGGGGGTCCATGGGGTTTGGGGCGTGGGAGCGTCACGCTGTCCATGGCAGAGCCATCGAGCAAGCCAAGAAATCCAAGGCGCCCTGGAGGCAAGCAGGGTGTTTCTTGGCATGGGCTTCCATTGTACATGGTTTGAGGGGAGCGCCTTCCTTCGGGGGAAAGAGGAGGGAGGAGGAGGAGGAGGAGGAGGAGGAGGAGGAGGAGGAGGAGGAGGAGAAGGAGGAGGAGGAGGAGGAGGAGGAGGGGGAGGAGAAGGAGGAGGAGGAGACGAGAAGGAGGAGGGAGAGTTGGGAGGAGGAGGAGGAGGAGGGGAGGAGGAGGAGGAGGAGGAGGAGGAGAGGGAGGAGGAGGAGGAGGAGGAGAGGAGGAGGGAGGAGAGAAGAGGAGGAGGAGGAGGAGGGAGGAGGAGGAGCTGGAGAAGAGGAGGAGAGGAGGAGGAGGAGGAGGAGGAGGAGGAGGACGGGGAGGAGGAAGGGGAAGACGGAGCCGTGCGCACCACGCCAGGGAGGCCGCCCGTGCCCGTCGGGGCATGGCGTGGAGGCCGCAGCCCCGACAGGGAAGAGAGCTCACGCGAGGACCACCTCCTCCTCCTCGTCCTCCTCCTCCTCCTCCTCCTCCTCCTCCTCTCCTCCTCCTCCTCCTCGACCTCCTCCTCCTCCTCCTCCTCCTCCTCCTCCTCCTCCTCCTCAGCCACTCAGCGCTCTCAAACAGCGGCCCAACTCAGGTACCGGCGGCCCAAAGACCAGCATGTCTCCGCGAGGTCCCATGAAGGCCTCAACACAGCCCTGGGGTGGCCCGTGAGCCTTCCCACGATAGCGCCGATATACACCAGCCCTTTGGGCGTACGCGGTTTGGGGAGGTACTTCGTCTAAACTCATCTTTCCCTTCGGGGAGAGGTGCACCTCACCCCCTCACCCCTCTCCGCGGGGGGTCCAGACGGGTCCCGTCGCGAACGCTCAGAGCGCCCAAGATGGCCCAAGAGGGCCTCAGGAGGGGCCAAGATAGCCCATCATGGCCTCCAAGGCCGCACCAGATAACTCAAGCAAGATAGCTTCCAACGTACCTACAAGAAGCCTCCAGACCGCCCAAACACGCTTCCAAGTTGTCGCGGAGCCTCCCTGACGCCTGGAGACCGTCGTCCGCCCAGTCCGCTCACGTCCGATGCGCTCCAGCCGTTCCGCCAAGCCATGCTGCTTGCTGGGATTGCCTCGCCCCCCGCAGATCCCGTCCCTCCGCCTTGCAGAAGCGGCACGACCGAGTCCGCCTCCCAGCTTGCACGACCACTTCAGAGCTGTCAGCTGGTGATGAGCAGCTGCCGACTATCGCATCCTCATCCTCCTCCACCTCCTCCTCCTGTTGCTCCTCCTCGTCCTCATCCCTTCTTTCCTCCCTCCTTGTCCCATTCCTTCCTTCCTCCAGTCCTCCCTTCTTCCCGTCCTTCCTCCTCTTCCTCTTCCTCCACCTACTATTTTTTCCTCCTCCTCCTCCTCCTCCTCCTCCTCCTCCTCCTCCTCATCATCATCATCATCATCATCATCATCATCATCATCATCAGCAGCATCATCAGCATCAGCATCAGCAGCAACAGCATCAGCATCAGCATCAGCAGCAACATCGTAATCATCATCATCAGCATCAGCATCATCATCGTAATCATCATCATCAGCACCAGCATCATCATCATCATCATCAGCATCAGCATCCACCTCATCATCATCAGCAGCAGCATCTGCATCATCATCATCATCATCATCATCAGCAGCATCATCATCAGCATCATCATCATCAGCAGCAGCAGCATCAGCATCAGCATCACCATCATCATCATCAGCAGCAGCATCATCATTATCGTCATTATCATCAGCAGCAGCAGCATCATCAGCATCATCATCATCAGAAGCAGCATCATCATCTTCATCTGCATCTGCATTTGCATCTGCATCTGTATCTGCATCCACTGAATCATCAGCAGCAGCAGCAGCATCACCATCATCATCAGCAGCAGCAGCAGCATCGGCATCGACATCGTCATCGTCATCGTCATCGCCAGTATCATCAACATCATCATCAGCATCACCATCATCGTCACCAACGTCAGCATCATCATCATCAGCATCATCATCATCAGAAGCATCATCATCATGATCATCAAAATCATCAACATCATCAGCAGCATCATCATCATCAGCATCATCACCATCAGCATCATCAGCAGCATCATCAGCATCAGCCTCAGCCTCAGCATCTGCATCAGCATCAGCATCAGCATCAGCATCATCATCAGCATCATCGTCATCATCATCAGCATCAGCATCAGCATCATCATCATCATCATCATCATCATCATCATCATCATCATCATCATCATCATAATCGTCATCATCGTCATCATCATCATCATCATCCTCATCATCATCATCTTCTTCATAATCATATTCATCATCATCATCATAATCATACTCATCAGCGTCAGCATCATCATCATCATCAGCAGCAGCATCAGCATCAGCATCAGCATCATCATCATCATCATCATCATCATCATCAGCATCATCATCCTCATCTTCGTCCTCATCCTCATCATCATCATCATCACTATCATCATCATCATCATCACCACCACCACCAAGACCACCACCACCACCACAACCACCACCACCGCCGCCGCCGCCGCCGCCGCCACCGCCACCACCACCACCACCACCACCACGACCACCACCACCACCACCACCACCACAACGACCACCACCACCACCACCACCACCACCGTCATCATCATCATCATCATCATCATCATCATCATCATCATCATCATCATTATCGTCAGCATCATCATCATCATCATCATCAGCATCATCATCATCATCATCATCTTCATCATCATCATCATCATCATCATCATCATCACCATCACCATCACCATCACCATCAGCATCATCATCAGCAGCATCATCAGCATCATCAGCATCATCAGCATCATCATCAGCATCATCATAAGCATCAGCATCATCAGCAGCATCAGCATCAGCATCAGCATCAGCATCATCATCATCATCACCATCACCACCATCACCATCATCAGCATCATCAGCATCAGCATCATCAGCATCATCATCATCATCTTCATCATCATCATCTTCATCATCACAATCGTCATCATCATCATCATCATCATCATCATCATCATCATCGTCATCGTCATCGTCATCACCATCAGCATCATCAGCATCATCATCATCATCACCACCACCACCACTACCATCATCATCATCATCATCATCATCATCATCATCATCATCATCATCAGCATCATCATCATCATCCGCATCCTCACGCTGCTGCGCCGCTCATCGATGTAATGCCAACCGAACCTGCAGGGTGGGCCCTTCCCGTTTTCTATGCACTTCAGCAACGGCGTCGGCTTCAGCTGTGCGTGCGCCAAGAAGCGCTGTTGGGCCAGCGCACACGAGTCGGTTATCCGGTCGCCTGGGTGCGTCCCCCTCCTCTTCATTCAGGGGAACGAAGAATGACATATGAATATAAAAAAATCGGCGCGCCAGTGGGGGGGTGTCCAGCGCCGATCCGAGAAATTTGCGCGGAGCGCCAAAAGTTTATGTTTATGGCGCTCTCTTTCTTCGATCATTATCATCTTCCTCCTGTGCACCATCATGTCGCTCGCATGCAGGGCTTTTGACTAGCACACGTGGTGGCGCAGGCGGTTCTGGCCCTATAGGCCCCTCTCCTGCCGATGCATCATCGGCAAAGGCGTGCTCGGGCTCGGGACAAAAAGGCAACCACTGTCAGCATGTCCCGACGGTCAATGTCGGCCCTGCAACTGGGCATCATTGGCACAGCATGCGCAGGCTCGGAAACAAAAACAAACACACACACACACACACACAGACACGTCAAAATCAAAAAGTGCCACGACTGACGCCGACCTTGCGCCGCGCGTGAGGCCGAAGCATGAAGGCTTTGTTCACGCACCGCTCCTCGGGCAAGGAGGCGGCCGTCCAAGAAGACGGGGGGCTCATCAGGAGCCCCCAAGAGAAGCCACTCAAAATCGGTCCCCATGCCCCCTTCGAAGGTCCTCCCCAGCCAATTCTTCGGGCCACGTTCGGACGATGCTCGTTGCACCGCGGGGAGGCATTGAGGCGGCGCGCGTCTCGTCGCAAGTTCGCGCATGCAGTTTCTCATCAGCTCGCCTCTGCCTCCACACCCTTGCACTGTCTCCGAATTGTACGAGATGCCGTGTGACACCACATGCACGTAGCAGCTGGAGGACTCGCGGCAGGGCCAGAGAGTCTCCCTGCGCGTCGCCAAGACACAGATCGCCCTCCTCCTCCCTCGGGCGTGGGGCGGGGCTAGCAGACCAAACTGCTCTCGGGCGCCCTGGGGGCCGGCAGGATCCCGCCCGGCGACAACTGCTGAGGCCTGGGGCCTGGCGCTGAGAGATGCGGAACGGCCGCGTAGCCGGCGTAACCCGCGGCCCTCCTGCAGGGGTGGCGCCCAAAGCACCGCCACCGCGCCCGGCCAGAGACCCCCCTGGCCCCCGTGCACGGCGTGCACGCCCTCCCGGGCCCGAGGCCCGGACGGCCGGCACACCGTCCAGGGGACTGGGATGGCGCTGGCCGGGGCTGGCGGTGCGGTCCGCTGGCCTCCTGCGAGCTCCTGGGCCCGGCGCCCGCGGCCTCGGGCAGCCGCTCCACGTGGTCCTTGAGGTACTCCGTGTGGCCCGCCGAGATGTCTCTCTCCACCTCCTGCACCGGCACAGTCTCGTACGCCTCCTTGAGGTCCTCTGTCCACCCACGGAAGAACCTGGTGCCTAAGAGATCGACCTGGTCCGCGCACCGCACGTTGGACAGGATGACCTGTACCCGGCGCACGTCGAAGAGGGAGTAGAGAACGACAAGCGCCATCCACCCGTAGTCGGGCATCTTGAAGCCGCTGCCAAGAGACCATGCCACAATCCGTGAAAACGCAGCTGCAAGGACACTGACGCCGGCGAGCACCGCCAGTCCCATTTCTAGCCACACCATCGTCACTAACACGTGCCCCCCACTCTGCAGGAGCGATGTGCGAGCACGGTCCAACAGCTGCTGGAGTAGCAGGACGTCCTTGAGTATCCAGAGCGCCAGCGCCACAAGGAAGGCCTCGGGGCCGTGGAACCAAGCTGGCGCATGGGGTATAGTGCCGGCATGGGCGGTCACCCCAGTGCACAGAAGCAGCAAACCACTGATGTAGACGACCCATCTCACAAAGCCGTCGTAGTTGTTCCGGTACTCGCTGGTGACGACCAGGGCGACGTTCGCGGCGAGAAACTGGAGCACGACAATCCACCCGACGGCGACGATGGAGGCGCTGGGCTGAGTGATAAACTTGTCACGATAGTCCCAGTCGTCTACCTGCTCCCCATAGACCTTCTCGGCGAGCCACTTCGCAGAGTACATGGAGAACGCCAGGACGAGCATCGCAAACAGCAGCGGCCTCTTCGCGAGCAGGCGGAGCCCGTGGCCATTGCCCCCCGTGGCCGAGGTGAAAAACCTGCGTTCCTGCTGCTGCGTCTCCTGGATCGCGAGGGCGCCGTGCGGGTCTGCCGACAGATCTGCCGGGATTCCACTCTCCCAGCACCTCACCTCGAGGCCTCCCAGGTGGGGTCCGAGCAGATGGGGTCGGAGGATCGCGCCGCATCGCCAATGCACCTCCGATGAATCGGCGATGCATCGGCGAGGAATCGGCGACGTCGGCGGTGCATCGGCGCCATCGGCGTGGAGAACATCGGGCCCCACATCGAGCCGCATCGCCGATACATCGGCGATGCGGAGCGTTCCTCCGACGCGATCTGCTCCAGCCCCAGCTGGGAGGCCTAGGTCACCTCGAAGGCCAGGGGCCTGTTCTTCAGCGGGGAGACCAGGCCCAAGCTGAAGAGCAGGCCCTGGGCAAACAGGGTCATGATCAGCGGGAAAGGGTCGACCTTAACCTTCAGCACTTCGTTGGCTGGGCACGCTCCCAGCACCGTGGAGTTTGCGAAGATCATGCTGGGATCCAGGCCGTCGCACCCCAGTCCAGCATTGCTCATGAGCTTCGAGGACATGAAGAAAGTTCCGTATACGATCGCAAGTATATAAAATCCCGCAGCAAAAGTGCAATGGACTTGCTCGCGGAAGACGAGCTCTGGCCACTGCCAAACAGCGTAGGCAGTGCAGAAGCAGTACCATCCTTTAGATATGTTGTCCAGAATGTAGGGGATCGAATGCAACAACACGCTTGTGTATGTAGGGTTGAACGTGAACACCAGCTGGAAAAGGCAGGACAACGGCATGTAGACCCCGAACATGAAGGCAAAGATGCCCAGAATGAAGACGTCCCCGAAGAGCGCGGCTCGGACGAGCGAGACCGCTGCCGAGACCTGTGAGATGAGGACGCTAAGGTCGAAGAGGGGCTGCGCAAAGAGAGTTCCAGGCAGGTAGTCCAACAGGATGCACGGATGGAGCGTCCCGTAGAGCCTCAGAACGGGGTCCACCTCCATCAAGTCGATCCCCTCGGCCCTCTTTCGAGGAATCGCTACGGTGAAGAGCATGAGCGTGGACAGGCCGTAGCCCAGCAAGACGAACACTACCCCGATGCTCCAAATGCCCTCTGGGGAGACCACCGCGGTGACCCCGACTTTATGGGCGTCGCGCGCCTCCCGCTCCGCGTGCAACGTGGCAAGGAGTCCTGGGGGGTACTGGATCTGCTCGTGGGACCGATCATTGAACATACCCAGCTCGGTCATCTTGATCAAGGCCAGCGTGGTGGTTAAGGAGCCGATCATCTGGCAGATAATCTGGAAAGGGAAGAAGACCTTTTCAAAATCCTCGTGGCCCGTCGCGTTCAGGCCCATGCCGATGATGTGCACCCCGAACATCAGCGAGAAGCCCGAGAGGAACTGGCAGGCAGCGACTGCACCCTCGCCCTTCGCCGTACCCCGGATGGCGATGACGTTGGACAGCAGGAACACCTGCGCAATCTCAAACCAGGGGACGAACAGAGCCTGACCCACGAGGAAGTACCCCTTCAGCAGGAAGATCGTGTAGCTGACCGACAGGGTTCCTCCGATTGAGAACAAGATGGTCCAAACGAGTTCTTTGTTCCAGCCTCGTCCGTAGAAGAACATGGCAATCGCCGTGAACCAGAGTCCGACTCCCGAGAAGAACTGTATGGCAAGGCCATAGGGGAACATGTAGCTTGGGACCCGCGTGACGTAGTAGGCTGACCGGAACAAGAAGAAGATGCCCTCGACAAAATTAGTAAGGACCCCCGAGGCGACCACAGATGTGTCGAGCCCCGAGCCAGCCATCCGAAAAAAATAAATGGCGAGGAAGACGCTGAGCCCGATCGCCCACGCGGCCCAGAGGACGCAGAAGAGGACCCTCACCGGGTCTGTCGGCGGAGGGTTCATGGCCAAGCACTCCGCGCGGTCGGGATCGTCAGAATCAGCACTGGGGCACTCCACCTCCCCCGGGGGCGTCGGCCCCGGAGCGCTCGCCACCGCCTGCGCCGAATCGGAGGCAACCTCCTGAGACGTGCGACGCTCGGCGATGCCGATGGGCCCATTTCCCACCACCACTACCGTACGTAGGAGAGGGAGGAGGAGGAGGAGGAGGAGGAGGAGGAGGAGGAGGAGGAGGAGGAGGAGGAGGAGGAGGAGGAGGAGGAGGAGGAAGGAGGAGGAGGAGGGAGGAGGAGGAGGAGGAGGAGGAGGAGGAGGAGAGGAGGGAGGAGGAGGAGGCGGAGGAGGAGGAGGAGGAGGAGGAGGAGGAGAAGGAGGAGGAGGAGGGAGGAGGAGGACCTCCTCATCCTCCCCCCTCCCTCGTCCTACATATGGCAGTGGTGGTGGTGGTGGTGGAAAATTTGCCCATCAGATGCCAGATCCGAAGCGCCGCCCCGGAGAATCTCCTCTCGCCCGCTCCACGTCTGTCCGCCATGGACCAAAGGGGGCCCTGGAGGAAACGGGTCCTGGATGCCGCAGGGCCTCTCCCTGTGGGACCGGCATGCCGTCCCGAGCAGCTGTTGTCCCCACATCAGCAATATGAGGTTCTCGCGGCAAAGTCTGACGCCTCCGCCTCCTCACCCGCTCACTCGTTCGCTCACGCACTCACTCCCTCGCGCATCCCTCCCTCTTTCACATTTCAGGCCCACTCATACTCTGACCACTCGCACGTAGAGCACACACAAACTCGCTGCTGCTCGAACTCGCTCATGCTGAGATCACACATACTCAGACTCACTCAGACTCAGACTGACTCGGACTCACTCGGACTCATACTCACTCATGCTCAGACTTCGTCATACCCGTCACTCCCACCGAGGCACATTCTCACACACAGCCGAATGATCATCGCGCTGTAGCAGGCACGACGGCTGGGCGATGCAAAGGGGAGCCGAGAGCACATTGCACGGGCACGCTTGCGTCCAGACTCTGGGAGCCTGTCAACTAGAAGGGCTGCTTTGGGCGGCTAGATGTGCCTACGTAACACACAAATAAATACACACAAATAAGAATACTCCCCATATCTTCTGCGTTTTTGTCTTCCCCCCCACCTCCCATATTTTCCTATATTTTCTGGGAAATCGACGATTAATTGTGTCTGTGTGTTTTTTCCCCTCATGAATTTTGAAAGCAACGCGGTGAATCGCGATGTATCAAGCATGGCGCTTGGGCATCCCAAGGGGAAGCCGCCAGGAGGAGCTGCACGGGCCCGCTCGTGCACAAATCGCGGGCGCACGTCTCAAGTAGAATATCCGCTTTTAAGGGGGCAGACGTGTCGCTTTCCAGAGCCCCGTGATCATCGCGATGTAGCGGGCGTCGCGGCGTGGCACTTGGGCATCCCAAGTGGGAGCCGCCAAAGGATATTTCACGGGCCCGTCCACGCCCGGACTACAGGCATGTCTCAGGTAGAATGGCCGCCTAAGGGGGGTAGGGGTCTCTTGCCACACGATGATGACAGTACAGCAAACATCGCACTTGGGAATGCCAAGGGGAGCCGACAGCGGGCATTTCACGGGCCAGCTCGCGCCTAGGTTACGGGGACATTTCAATGAGAATGCCCATCCTGGGTGGAGTCGGCGCCTCTACTTCCAGAGCCACACGATCATCGCGCTGCTGCAAGCATGGCGCTTGGGCATCTCAAAGGGACGCCGCCAGGAGATGCTTCGCTGGCCCCACTCGCGCCCAGACTGCTGGGACGTCTCAAGCAGATTGACTGCTCTTGGGGGGAAGGAGGAGAAAAGACATTCTTCATTGCCGGCGGTGGACAAACCTCCCTTTAATAAACCACCCTTTAGTGAAAACGGGCTGGGACCGAAACCGACGGACCTGGCCCCGCAAAAATGACGACCGCGACGCTCTCTCGCGAAGCGAAAACGGCCAATTCGCTAATCGACGTGTCAGGGTAGGAGGTTTATCAACCTCCGCACACAACCATCGCTCCCAAAACCTGGAGCCTCCAGCGGATACTGCACGGGCACGTTCGCACCAATGCGGAGGAGCTTTCTGGCAGAGAGGCCGTCTGAGGGCGTAGACGGCTTCTGTTTCCAGAGTCCCCTGGGAATCGCCATGCAGCGGGCATGGCCCTCGGGCATCCCAAAGGAGAAGCCGCCAGAAGGTATTGCACGAGCCCGTGCGCTCGCAGAATGCGGAGACATCTCGAATAGAACTGCACGGGCACGAAGGCCCGACCCACCAGCGCTGCGTGATAAGACGCATGGCCAGCATGGCACAGCACGGCAACTGCTTCCAGCAGGAACGCCAAGCACGGCACGGCAGAACTGTGGCACTACGAAACCCGAGCACGGCACGGCGCGGCACCCTGGCGCACCCTGCAGTCCAATCACGGCGCTGTCCGGCACAGCACGGCACCTTCTTCCCCGACTGAAAAACGCGGCACGGAACGGCACAGCATGGCTTCCTCTCTCCGCCATCCACACGTCGCCACGGTCGCGAAAGCAGGCGTGCCGAGCAGCGAGCGTGCCCAGCATCGGTGGGCGCCCGCACGGCACTGCTTCAAACAAAAACAAAACAAAAAAACACGGCACGGCACGGCACGGCAGCTTCCCTCCGCCGTCGAAGTGTCGCCACTGTCGCGAGGGCAAGCGTGGCGAGCACCGAATGTGCCCAGCACTGTGGCTGCCCGCACGGCACAGGACCGGACTTGTGCCGCCATGGGAAGCCGAGCGCGGCACGGCACAGCACCGTAACTCCCGCACGCTCCAAACCCAGGCGGCATGGCACGGCTCCGTCGCACTCCGAACACCAGGCAAGGGAACGGCATGGCACGGCATGGCACGACGACTTCTTCGCAGTCTGAACATCGGGCACGGAACGGCACACCAGGCACGGCACGGCACGGCACGGCACGGCACGGCGTGTCGCAACATGAAAAAGCGCGGCACGGCATCTGCTCGAACGAAAATACAGCAGCCAAAAAAAACATAACATAAAAACACAAGCCTAACACGATTCGGCAAGATTGTGGCACCTGGCACCCTGGAAACCAAGCACGGCACGGCGGCACGGCACGACAATTTTCGTACTCTGACAGCTAAACATGGCACGGCAAGGCACGGCATAGCAACGCATATCTGTAGAGTTTTGAAAGAAACTAGAAAGCAGGAACTCTGGAAATCAAGCGCGTCACAGCATGCAGTTCGAATTACAACAAAACTGGCACCGCAAATTTGTCGAATTCTGGACACATGGCACAGCACGACACCAGGGCGATACGGTGCGGCACGGCAATTGCGGCGCATCCCGGATACCAAACACTGCACGACACGGAAACTGTTCCTAAATGCGACAACCGCGCACAACACAGCACGTCAATGTTCTCAGTTTTCCAGCGAAACACGGCACTCTGAAAGCGAAGCGCAGCACAACACTGCAACTTCTCCGCATTATGAGGACCAAAACCGACACGGCACGGCAACTGCTTCGTATTTCGCAAACCAAACACGGCGCGACACAGCACACCGCGCGGGCGGCATGTTCTCAACATCCCAAGAAGGGTTCACAGCACGGCCCGCCGACTCGGCATGGCACGGCACGTGGGCGCGCCGTGGCGCCTGAGCACGGCCCGGCCAAGCCGATGTGTCTCGGCACGGCACGTCTGTTTTACACCTCCAGAGCCCAGGACGAAAGAGCACCGCACGGCACGCAAACATGCCACGGCACAGCATGGCACGTAGGCGGCAACTGTTGACCCCCCGGAAACAGAGCAGGCCACGGCACGGCACGGCACGGCACGTGGGCACGGCACGCGGGCATGGCACGCGGGCACGGCACGAGCGCTACACCGCGCAAAGAAACCCGAAACACCAACGCCGCATGAGAACACACATGGCACATCACCATCCAAAGGGGCGTGCTTGGTGTGCGTGGCTATTGTCGCACGAGCTAACGCTAAGACAGAGCCAGGACGAGGATTAATTCCGGTGAGGACACATGTGTTTTTTCTGTGACCCGGCGGTTCTGGAGGACGCCACGGCTCGCGGGCGGCACACCTCTGCAGCGCATGGAAGAAGCAGGCACGGCCCGCGGGCGCGCGGCGCGGCACGCGGGCGGCACGGCACGGCGCGCGAGCGGCACGGCGCGCGAGCGGCACGGCGCGCGGGCGGCACGGCACGGCACGGCAAGCCAGCGCCCGACTCTTCGCGTGAGAACGCGCGTCCCCAGTCCAGCTGCCCTAAGCGAGCCTTGACGGAATGGGAGGGGACCGAATGGACAGAGTGCCAGAGGCACGAGGGGAAGTCCGCCAGCGGGCCGACTGCAGCACGCACGTTTTACGTCGCAGCGCGGCGGAGGCGGTCCGCACGCGCGCGGGGGCAGGGCGCAGGCCCCCCGGCAGCAGAGCCACTGGGGGGCAAGAGCAGGGCTGGGCCTGAGCGCTGTCTTTGCTCGTCTTGCCGTCGTGCTGTGCGTCGTTCTGCTCTGCCTCGGCTTTTGTCCCTGCACCTCCCTGCCGGAACGGAAAGCACAGAGCACGCACGGCCAGAGTCCAGGAAAGCAGCGCTTCGGTCCAGGCCTGGGCAAGAGAGGGGGGCGGCGCTGGGGCGCAGGCACCCAGTCAACGAGGCAGCCGGGTGCACCCCCTGCACGCACCGCGGGCCAGCCGGCGCAGGAGCACGGCTGAAGGGGGGCGCGCCAGGCCCGTGTCGGCGGCGTGTCCGCCAAGCGGGGGCCAGGCGGCAGCAGCTTCCCGGGAGGCGGAGGGAAGCGGCGCACCCGAGCTCAGAGCGAAAGCGAAGCACCTAAGAGGTGCACGAGCAGGTGTACCAGCAGCGGAGCCGCGAAACGGCAGTGCCGCGGGGGAGATGGGTGCACCACCTAGGGTGGGTGGCGCGCCCCAGGGGGGGAGGGGAAGGCGCGCCGCCTGGGGTAGATGGCGCGCCCCCCAGCAGTGGAGGAAGAGGGGCAACGAACCGCACACGCAAGTGGGTGCACGGAGTGCAGCCAGGGCGGCCGGCCGGTGATGGAGGAGGCGCGCTACCCGGGTCAGGTGGCGCGCCCCACGGAAGGAGGAGGAGGGGCGCACCATCTGGGGTGGATGGCGCGCGCAAGAGAAACGCACCAGGTGGCAACTCATGGGAGTCCTCCGTACCATCTGGTCGGCTCCTGCGAGTCGACGCTAAGTCGACGCTAAGTCGACGCTAATCGACGCCAAATCGACGCTAACCGACGCTAAATCGGCGCCATCTCATCGACTCCCAATACGCTGCTCGACGCTAACCGACGCTGAAGACAGCATCACCAAGGTACACAAGGCCCCCATGATTTGCCGCCGAAAGAACACCCAAACGGTGCACAGAGCAGGTGGATCACAGGCAAGGCACCTCCTGGGATGGAGGGCACCGAGCCGTGCTCTCAGTGCCCTGGCGTGGGGACCGTGGCCGCTCCGGTCTGTCCAGGGGCAGGGCGCGTGCGGTGCCCGAGGGCGAGCCAGGCGCCCTGCAGCTGCAGGCCTCGCCTGCGACGGCAGCACGCACGGGTGCAGCCCAGACGGCGCCAAGACCCAACTCCAGAGTGACCTGCCAGGCCACCCCAACATACAGCCCGGGGACCAACACTTCGGGCGGGAGGGGGAGTGCGGACTCCACCCGTGTCTTGTCCGAGGCCCCCGACGCCCCCCCAGCACTGCTGGAAATGGAGGGCACGTTGGGGCCCTCGGGCAGGGTTGGGGGTGGTCTGTGACAGAATGGCAGGGGGGCGCCTTGTCCGAGGACACGGAAGACCTCTCGGAGGGCGCGCGAGGGCTTCTGAGCAGTCCCGCCACCTTCTGCGAAGGCCCTCTCCTCCTCGCCTCCCCCCCTTCGCTCGCCGCCGCAGGGGGGGGCGGTCGCACCCTGGAGCGCGCGGGCGCGGCAAGGGAAGCGCACGGCACGGGCACGGGCGGCTCGGCAACCACGCGGGCAGCACGGCCTCGCACGCTCCCGCGCGGGCGCGGCACGGCACGCGTACCGCGCGCGGCACGCGGCACGCGGCACGCGGCACGCGGCACGCGGCACGCGGCACGCGGCACGCGGCACGCGGCACGCGGCACGCGGGCGGCACGCTCTCGTCGCACTCTGGACATGAGCGGGACCCGCGCTAGCGATGCAACCGGGACCCCCTATCGCCTTCGCAGTGCGGAGGGTCGTCTCGCGCGAGGGCCCGCGCAGCGTCCCCCGAACAAGATCCCAGCGCACCGCGAGCGTGTCAGCACGTCCCCCGCGAGCAGAACTCGAAGCGACTGGGGAGCATATACACAGACATGTCATTGCACTGGCCTTGCAGACGTGCTGCAGCGGATTTCTGCGTGGATTCTCGCCCGAAGCGGCGAGCGAAAAACGAGCGGAATTTCGCGTGGATGTCTCCAAGTCTTCATTCATGCCCCCCCTCCCCCCCCAAAAAAACGCACGAAATTCACCTCGAGATCCGGAACGAGCTTCTCCGGGACACTCCGGGCCCACCCTATCGCTTTCCGAACGAACTCCGCTCCGCTCTGTTGGCGCCATGCGAGATGACAGCATTCCAGCGACCCGCAGCGCGGCACGCTCCCGCACGCGGGCACCGCACGGCACGGCACGCGGGCCACGGGGCGCCACGGCACGGCACGCGGGCGCGGCACGGCACGGCCACCGCGCGGCACCTCCTCCCCGCGCCCTCCGAGGCCAGGCACGCGGCACACGGCTCGCTGGGGCCCGCCGCGCCTCGCGGGCGTGGCAGCGCCTCTCCGCAGCCCCGAACTGCACGCGCGGCACGGCACGGCCTCGCGGGCACGGCAACAATCGGGGAGCTGCTGACCCGGGTCAATCAGACCCGGGTGAGCAGGAAACCAAACAACTGCAATGCAGGAGAAAAAGCAACCGCAACGCAGGGCTTCGCAAACCCGGGCCAGCCAATCTGCGCGGCCAGGAGCGGCTCGCCAACCCGGGTCAGCCAGAGGGGGTCTTCGCAGGATCCTGCAGGATCTGGTGCCCTGACTGACCCCAGCTTGCATTGACCTCCGTC